CATATTTTTAACCTGTAAACCAAACAAAATTCCTAACCAGTCAAGACATACACACGACCATCGATCAAATGCCCACCCTTAGAATGATGAATCATTTATGGGCATTAAATGCCCCCTTTAGGTTGATACAAATTAATTTTTTTTTAAAAGGAAGTTTTCATTCTTTTATAAGGACTTTGAACAGATGCAAATGTTTTTCCACTTGATATCCATCCATCAATATAAGAATATAATAATAACAACAATCCAAAGCACTCTGACAACATACTACAATATATAGAATATGAAAAGAATGAAAATTGCTTGTTTTCACCTGAGCAATGGTTATTGTTTGTTTTTTCCTCTCGCTGGTTGCCTATGGTAAGTTTCCGCCTCCACCTCTTTTCTTTTCTAAAATAAGAGTTTATTAACCGTGAAAACCCCACTAACCTATTATCACCTATGTGACCTAATGGTATAAATTATTAATAAGTTTTAGAGAGTTGACCTATTAACTACCAATCAGATAATAGTAATTAAATAAATAATTCAAAATTTCCATTTATAATTTTTACGAGAAGAGTCAAAATAGTTCTTGTTTTCAAAACGACCTAGCGGGTCGTTACATCACCTACCACTTAAACAAATGTTCGTCCTCGAATGGAAAAAGAAAAGAACTCACCTGGACGCTCAAAAAGCTGAGGATATCTACTCCTCATGTCTGACTCGGTCTCCCATGTAGCCTCCTCCACTGGACGATGCTTCCATTGAACCTTTACTTAAGCAATCTCTTTCGATCTCAACTTTTGAATTTGCCTATCCAAAATGGTTATCGGCTCCTCCTCAAAAGTCAAATTTTGATCAAGTAACATTGAATCCCATTGAATCACATGAGCACCACCCTGATGATACTTTTTCAACATCGAAATATGAAATACGGGATGAACACCCGACAAACCAGGTGGCAAAGCCAACTGATACGCCACCTCACTAATACGCTCCATAATCTCGAAAGGGCCAATATACCTTGGGTTCAACTTGACTTTCCTTCCAAATCTCATCACACCCTTCATGGGCGAAACCTTCAATAGAACCCGCTCTCCCACCATGAACTCCAAGTCGCGAACCTTCCGATCTGCATAACTCTTTTGCCTACTCTAAGCCATGAGAAGTCTATCTTGGATCATCTTGACCTTGTCCAAGGACCCCCCTCAACAAATCTGTACCCCACGGTCTAACCTCAAATGCATCAAACCAACCAATTAGAGATCGACATCTCCTACCATACAAAGCCTCAAAAGGTGCCATCTCAATGCTCGAATGGTAACTATTATTGTAAGCAAACTCCGCTAATGGCAAGAACTGATCCCAGTGACCACCAAAGTCAATGACACACGCCCGCAATATGTACTCAAGAACCTGAATAGTCCATTCAGACTGACCATCAGTCTGAGGGTGAAAGGTTGTATTAAGATCCATCTGAGTGTCCAACTCCTTCTGCATAGACCGCCAGAAATTAGATGTAAATTGTGTGCCACGATCGGAAACAATTGAAATGGGAACTCCATGCAAACAAACTATCTCTCAAATATAGATCTTGGCTAACTTTTCTGAATTATAGGTAGTCTGAACTGGTACGAAGTGTGCAGACTTAGTCAGTCGATCCACGATGACCCATATATCATCAAACTTACCCAAGGTACGTGGCAATCCTACCACAAAGTCCATAACAATGCGCTCCCACTTCCACTCGGGTATAAGCATCCTCTGGGTCACACCTCTAGGCTTTTGGTGTTCATACTTCACTTGCTGACAATTCAAACATTGAGATACAAAATCTACTATGTCCCTCTTCATACGACACCACCAATAATGCTACTTCAAGTCACAATACATCTTACTAGCCCCAGGATGAATAGAGTACCTCGAACTATGTGCCTCTTCCATGATGAGTCTAGTCAAATCGCTTGTCCGAGAAACACATATATGACCTTTTATCCTCAAAACTCCCTCACTATCAAGAATTGCATCTTTGGTTCTCCTTTCGACACCTTGTCTCGAATCTTACATAAATCATCATCAATAAACTGTTGAGTTCGAATCTACTCCAACAAGGATGACCTAGCCTCCATATAAGCCAAAACCTTACCAGATTCTGAAATATCAAGCCTCACAAAGCTATTGGCCAAGGATTGGACATCCCTAGCTAAAGGACGCTCGTCAACCTGTAACATTGCTAGACTACCCATACTTACCGCCTTTCGACTCAAGGCATCTGCTACCACATTTGTAACATCCGGCAATTTGAAATAACTATGAAGAGGCTTAGAATTGGAAATAGTCATTTTTTGGAAGGAATTCAAAATCTGGAAATTTGGTTAAGTATGGGAAAAAAGTGAGTTTTTGGCCAACTTTGAGCAGTTATAACTCCTAGCTCAGGATGAGTTAGGTGTATTTCCAGTTATGTTTGCGAAGCTCGTAGAATGATATTTCCAACGCCACCGAGTTTGCTCGATTCCGAGCGTATGAGTGAGTTATGTCCTTTGGAATTTGGGCAGTTGGCATGGAAGTCCGTCCAGAAATTTTAAGGGCATTTTGGTCTTTTCCCTAACCAATTCTTTTGGGTTATATTAGTGTGTTAGACTGATTTTTAGATCAGTTTTTCCCATTTTAAAAGAGTGAGAGTTAGGGTTCTTGAGAGAAGAGGAGAAGAAAAGGAGAAAAGAGAAGAAGCAAGGAGATCGTCGTGGTTTCGTCGGGGGTGATCCCTATTAAGGTATGTGAGTTCATAGTGTTGGATTGGTTCTTTTCCCCACATGCCAAACTCGTTTAATTTCGAGAAAAGATTGATTATGTTTGTTGAAGTTATTGGTTGTAGTTGTTGAAGTTGTTGGTTGTGATTGTGTTGAAGTTCTTGTTGATTTGGGACATGTTTCCGATTGTGTTTGTGAGTTGAAATCTATTGTATGTTGAGGGGTTTATGATTCTAAGTGTTTGGGGCTGGATCCATGGAAGTTAAGGAGGTTTAGAGTTGGAAAAATGAAGGAGAAAAGTTGAGTTTTCTGGGGTCAGGGGTGGTGCGTCGCGCCTGCCAGCGCACCCCAAAAGAGTTTCTGAGTTTTCTCTCTTGGGGCGGTACGCCTAGCAGTGCGCCCCAACTGCCCTTCTGAGCTTTGAGGGCTGGCGCCCTGCGCCCTGCAGAGCGCCAAGGACGCCAAGTTTCCCCATTCATTTCACACTTTCTCATACATGTTCCTTGGTATTGTACCTATGTTTTATAGTTGTTTTCCACACTCTACGGTACGTCTACACGTCAAGAACTCATCCATAAACATGTGATCATATACCTTGAATCCATAATCCAATTCAAAGCGAGTTAGTATCAAAGTCAAGTGAAGTTAAAAGTCAAGTGATGTTAGAGCCACGCTTAGAAGTTAAGAAGTAAGTCAAAGCAAGTTTCTTAAAATTGTTCAAGAGTCTTTATTGAATGTTTTAACTTCATTTTAAGGCTCAAATTTCCAGTTGAGTAAAGAGTATAAAGTAGAGTTCATTTCTCAAAAGTTATTAGGGAACTATGTATTCCCAAAGAAGTTTCTAAATGTTTTTACATTGAGTAAGAAATGAACTATGATTCCAAAAGAGCCTTTGGGCTAAGTTTTGAGCAATTATCTCAACTAAAGAAAGATGTGTTTAAAACACTTATGAGCTAAAGTATATTTTTGGGAGTAGTCTTGAGCACCGAGTGGGGACACGAGTTCATATTAACTCAACTCTCCATAAGAACCATGCGGCCAACATGGGGTTTAACGGGTCATACTTTTTTGATGATCCTGTAAGTTAAGCTAGTGGATCCACTTAGTAAAGTTAGCTTTCTATATCACAACAAGGTATAGGATGGTCCTTGGGCAACGTGAGGTAAAACGTTGTATCACCACTTAGTTTCATAGTGGTGGTTGTCGGTTAGAGAAACTCCCATAGCAGTAGAAATTGCATGGTTCCTCGAGGGCTTCTGCTTAGTATGGATGGGGGTATGAGACTTCATTCATGCATTGCACAAGTAAACTTTGAGAGGAAGCATGGTATTTTCATGATATTATAAATATGATTTTTACGTCATGTTTTAAATAGTTTTGCAAGCTTTATATATATTGCATGTGTCTTATTGCTTTATATTGAGTTCAATTATTCATGAGTTGAACAGAGCTAAGGTAAGTTCTCTTTTGTATCCCTTTCAAGCTTAAGTTGCTGTTTAGTTGTCCAGCTCGCATACTCGTACATTCTATGTACTGATGCCAGTTGGCCTGCATCTTATTATGATGCAGACGCAGGTACCCAGGATCAGCATCCAGCACGCCGTTGGTCCAGTTGAGCACTCCAGAGTCAGTGGTGAGCCTTTTTGCATTCCGGAGGACTCGGTCATTTTGTTCTCTTAGTTTTGCTTTATTAGGATGTTGTGGGGTCTGTCCCAACATCCATCTCAGTATTATAGGAGCTTCATAGACAGTCAGTCAGTTAGTATTGAGTCTCTCATCTCTGTATATATATAAATATTCTATTTTGAGACTCGAGTTGCCTTTTTGGCCAGATTTTATCAGTTAAATAGTCTTATGACCCTTTTGTTGCATGAAGTTATTTTGTTGAGTTAGGTTTCCGCTGACTTAAGAAAGCCAGGCCAAGGGTTCGCTTGGGGGCCAACAATGGTCTTCGAGTGCCGGCCATGTCCAGGGTGTAGGCTCGGGGTGTGACACCCTTTGCCTTGCCTGGATGATAAAAAATAGTCATGTCGTAGTCTTTGAGCAACTCCAACCATCTCCGCTGCCTCAAATTGAGATCCCTCTGGTTGAATATATACTGAAGACTACAATGATCCGTGAACACCTCACAATGCACACCATAAAGATAATGCCTCAAAATTTTCAATGCAAACACAACAGCCACCAACTCCAAATCATGAATAGGATAGTTCTTTTCATGAACCTTCAACTGCCTCGAAGCATAAGCTATCACCTTCCCCTTCTGCATCAATACGCAACAAGACCGATTCGAGAAACATCACAATATACAACAAAACCCTCTCCCTCCACGGGTAGGGTCAAAATCGGAGCAGTAGTCAATAAAGTCTTGAGCTTTTGAAAACTCACCTCACATTCATCAGACCACTGGAAAACCACTTCTTTTTGGGTCAATCTAGTTAATGGGGATGCAATGGATGAGAACCCCTTTACAAACTGTCGATAATAACCTGCAAGGCCTAAGAAACTCCGAATCTCAATAACTGAAGCAGGTCTGACCCAATCTCGAACTGCCTCAATCTTCTTAGGATCCACCATAATACCTTCCTTGGACACTACATGTCCCAAGAATTCTACCGAACGAAGCCAAAACTCACACTTTGAAAACTTTGCATAGAGCTTCTTTTCCTTCAGAATCCCAAGCACAATCCTCAAATGATGCTCGTGCTCCTCCTTACTACGGGAGTATATCAGTATATCATCTATGAAGACAATAACACATGAATCCAAGTACGGTCTGAACACTCCGTTCATCAAGTCCATAAAAGCTGTTGGGGCATTAGTCAATATGAAAGACATCACTAAAACCTTGTAATGGCCATAACGTGTTCGAAAAGCTGTCTTAGGGATATCCTCCGCCCTAACCTTCAGCTAATGGTAGTCGAATCTCAAATCAATCTTGGAGAAAATAGAAGCACCCTGCAGCTGATCAAATAAATCATCAATACGAGGTATCAGGTACTTATTTCTGATGGTTACCTTGTTCAACTGTCGATAGTCAATACACATACACATAAATCCATCTTTCTTCTTCACAAATAACACTGGAGCACCCCAAGGAGATACACTCGATCTAATAAAACCCTTGCTCAACAAATCTTACAACTACTCCTTTAACTCTTTCAATTCAGTCGGTGCCATACGATAAGGAGGAATGGAAATAGGCTGAGTGCCTGGCTCTATGTCAATACAAAAATCAATATCACGATCAGGTGGAAGACCTGGTAAGTCTGTCGGAAATACCTCCGAAAATTCACTCACCATCGGAATAGACTCAAGCATAGGAGTCTCAACACTAGTATCTCGAATGTGCGCCAAGTAAGCCAAACATCCTCTCTCTACCAAGTGACCAACCTTAAGAAATGATATCACCCCTTTAGGAGGGTGACTAAGACAACCTCTCCATTCTACTGTATGAATTCCAGGTACAGCTAATGTAACTATCTTGGCATGACAATTTAAAATTACATGATAAGGAGATAACTAATCCATACCAAGTATCACATCAAAATCTACCATATCTAGGACCTTTAAATCTGCATGAGTGTCATATCCCATCAAGGTAACTATACATAATCGATACACTCGATCTACCACTACAGAATCCCCGACAGGAGTAGAAACATGTACCAGCAAATCAAGAGACTCACATACTATATCCAGACTCGAAGCAAAATATGTGGACACATAAGAATAAGTAGAGCCTGGATCAAATAATAGAGTAGATGGTCGATGACAAACCGGAATAATACCTGTGATAACAGCATCCGAAGCCTCAGCCTCTGGCCTACCCGAAAAAGCATAATAGTGAGAACGACCGTCCTCATATTGTGAACCTCCACGACTACCACCTCGACCAGAAGGAGAACCACTTCTACCTAAATAAAAACCACCTCTGCCACTCTGTACACCTTCTCTAGTTGGAGGTTGTGCAACCCTGAAAGTCAAAGCCTAATGTACGCCCTTACGTCTGGTCCTAGGGCATTCTCTCACAAAGTGTCCCATATCACCACACTCAAAACAACCCTTACGAGACGTAGGCTGATGAGAGGAACCTGAATGACCAGAATGTCCCCCATGACCTACAGGTCTAGAGGATGAACCCTATGAAGTATGTACCGAACTCGAAGAACTATGCCCAGCGTAACCAGCCTCAGACGCTGGTATAGCAGCATGAATGGGTCTGCTAGACTGAGAGTGATAACCTCTCCCTAAGTAACCTCGACTCCTAGGCTGAGCACCATCATAATCACCTGAATGACGGGTCCTCTTGCCCTCACACTGCTCAAATCCCTCACGTCGAATCATCTCCAACTCTTTAGCAGCATCTACCACATTCTGGAACGGAACACAAGAAGTAGCAACCTGAGAAACTCCCAGACGAATCTGAATAATCAGCCCCTTAACAAACCTTCTCACTCTCTCGGCCTCTGTGGGAAGTATCATCGAAGCATGCCTAGCCAAGGCATGGAATTTACCCTCATACTCTGCGACTGACATACCATCTTGTTGCAAACCCTCGAACTCAGCCCTCTTACGCTCCCTCTCACTGTGTGGGACAAACTTGGCTAGAAATACCTGAGTAAACCGAGTCCATGATATTGGAGGGGATCCAGCTGGCCTACTACTAATATAATCCCTCCACCACTACTTGGCAGAGCCAGTCATCTGAAACATTGTGTAGTCAATTCCATGAGACTCTTCTAATCCAAGATTATGCAACCTCTCATGACAACTAACTATAAATTCATATGCATCCTTAGTTAAGTCACTAGTATAAGTCGGAGGATTCATTAGTCTGAACCTCTCAAACATCTTTTGTTCATCAAAGGTCATGGAAGGCCTGTTCGCCAAGTTTGATGCAATACCTGGAAATTCCATATTATCTAAACGGGGAGCTACAGCAGCAACTGGTTGAGTCATGGGAGTCTGAGAATCTGGAGCAACCATCGGATCTGGAGTCTGACCTCCAACACGGGTCTATGAAGCATCAGAGGTGACAGGCAAAGTTCCCGCCTGAGCCATCCCCTCTAGAAGTCCTAGCATAGGAACCAAGGTATCTTGAAGCACTGGGGTGGCAATAATTCTGGGTAGAGCCTCAGCTGGTCCATCCCCATCGACACGATACTGTACATCCACATGAATAACATTTGCATCAGGAGGTACTGTCCTATTACGGCCCTGGATAGCTATTGGTACTTGTCCTTCCATGGATGCTGCAATACGACCCCTACCCTGACCTCGACCTCGTCCCCTTCCTCTACCTCGAATAGTGCTCCCAAAAGCAGGCGCATGAATAGGCTCATGATCACCACTTGCAGATGTACGAGTTCTCACCATCTGAGAGAATGAGATATCAAGATTAGAATTTCAATAAGGTAAAGTGTGCACGATAATGAATGAAAGAATAGAATTTTTCCTAAATGTCTTATAGCCTCTCGAAGATAGGTATGGACGTCATCATACCGATCCGCAAGATTCTACTAGACATTGCTCTTGTACTCGTGAGACCGGTGAACCTAGGGCTCTGATACCAAATTTGTCACGACCCAAATTCACAAGTCGTGATGGCACCTATGTTCCCAACCAATAAGTAAGCCAACCCAACATATTTACCAATTATGATTAACTAATGAGGTAAAAGGTAATAGCGAGTAAAATTTCCAACTCTAAGTTCCTTATAAATATGAAATGCGGAAAGCTAAAATACTAACCAAGAATTGGTGTCATAAGTACAAGAGCCTCTAAATATGATGCAAGTCTAAAACTAAATGACAATCCAAACATAAGGGATATTCTGTTTGAATACTAAAATAACAGAATAAATAAAAGGTAAAGGGAGGTGTGGGCCACGGAACAACCAAGCAGCTCACCACAACTCCAAGATACTCCAAGCTCATACTCTAAAAGCTCCACGAGATGTGCTCATACTCGGAATCGAATCTGCACCACAAAAGAGTGCAACAAGTGTAGTATGAGTACGAAACCACGTGTACCCAGTATATCTCATAGACCAACAACGAAGAAGTAGTGACGGGAGTTCATATAAGAAAAATATGTTATTTATTTATTCAAGTCTATATTATAATTACGAGTCAAGTTTCATCAAATATAGGAAATTAAATAACAAGTACTTTCCAACCACCAATAAAACACATAATCATCAAGAATGAAGGATGACATGAGATACAATGCAATATGACACCATGGAATGATATGCCTCAGAATACCAAGTACTCTCTCAACCGTATAGACATGATACTCCTCGAAAAAACATCTAGAGTTCATGACCCATGGGGGACTCGCGAGGTACATATACCGACACAGACGATCTCCACGTGTCTGTGCGGACAATCTCAACGCACTATCATAAAATCAAACAATTTCCGCACGGACGATCTCCACGTGCCCAAAATAAAATCTTAGCATCTCACCATCCCCAGCACGGACGATCTCCACGTGCCCAACTTATACTCAATCTCATGTCAATGCATGTGCACAATATAATCTCAAATAAAGGGGATGATAATGCATCTCAATCAATCAAGTATCAGCGTAATACATAACCACCTCAACCATCACAAGTATACGGGTTCAAATAAGAACACAATCACACAAATAATCAGTCAATAATATATCAGCTAATGCCTATATGCTTTGGCATTCTCGGATTAAAATCCGCATTCTATAGTAATAGACTTTCCCTTTATAACACAGGTACTAGTACCAATGCCCGTCACATCATTGGTACGAGACCCCCATCTTTCGCCCTTACCCATTGTCTATTCCATTTTTTAAATCTTTAAGTTAGGAAAACGTCGTCCAACAAAGTCTAAAGTCTAAGCATACCTTGAATGCCAAACACGTGCCACGGATCCTCAAGAGTTTTCCTTCCCTTTTCGCAAAGCTTCAGAACTTTCCCAATCTACCAATTATGCAAAATATTGTAAGCACGCGAGTTCACACTCATTTTATTATGTATCTATCCTAGACCCACAAACTCACTCATATCTCTTAACCAACCCTAATTTTGATATAATTTCTATGTCAAAATCATATGTGCTAAAATTTATGCCTAGGATTAAATCTTAATTCCACTAAATAACATACTCTAACAATGTTCATATACATTATGCTTAATAATTAATAGTGACAAGAATAGCAACAGAAACTAACGAAAGTTTAACAAAAACTCCAAGCCTTCACAACTACTATACTTCAAATCCTTTTTAAATGTATCATCACTTAAAATCATGAGTCAATCATTGCCGTAATGATTACTCCCTCCTAATTTACAACTAACTTATCAAACCCAAAAAAAAAGCCATCATACAGTATAGTGTCAAATTTCCAAAATTTGCTTTCTTTAACCTTAACTATATTATTTATTTTCCAGCCTAAATCTTATCAACACAAATCCATATCCATTAATGACAAATCCCAGTCGAAATCTTTCTAGCACCGATTCGTTGGCAACAATAACTTCTGCATATTTTTAACCCGTAAACCAAACAAAATTCCTAACCAGTCAAGACATACACACGACAATCGATCAAATGCCCACCCGTGGAATGATGAATCATTAATGGGCATTAAATGCCTCCTTTAGGTTGATACAAATTAATTTTTTTTTAAAAGCAAGTTTTCATTCTTTTATAAGGACTTTGAACAGATGCAAATGTTTTTCCACTTGATATCTATCCATCAATATAAGAATATAATAATAACAACAATCCAAAGCACTCTGACAACATACTACAATATATAGAATATGAAAAGAATGAAAATTGCTTGTTTTC